TTCTGTACACCTACTTGTTCCTTGCCTCTGCTTTCTCAGTCCTCCCAGTGTTTGGAAGGCAGCCCTCACGCCAAATCCCCAGGAAAATTTACCTGTGCACATACTTTCTGTTTATCTTTGTCTGCTTCACTATTTTTTAGATTAGGTGGGGTAATGAAGAACATAGTTAGTTTATAGTAGAGGGGTCTCCACATAGCAGAAAATTATTTTTCTCTCCAGGTTCACATTCATTGCATTGCTTTGCTATGCCCCATCACTGCAGCCACTAAAAGCTGAAAAGCAACTCCTTGCTCTTGGAAATTCTTCTAACTTTCAATTTTCCCCCAAGTCTTCTCATTTAGGGCCTCTACACTGAGTACAAATTTGTAAGCTAATGTCAGCAAGGTGACCTTCACAGCTTTTATGCTATAATACAAAGTCAGCAGATTTCATTTGCTTTTAAGACTATGAGGAAATTTCTGTGGTGAATAGTGACAGGTTACTTTCAAGGAATTAAGCTAGTGCTCATATTATTTCTAACTACCACTCCAAATGAATATATCACCTCCAAAAATGTGTCTGAAAGAATACATTACCAGCAAAAATGTGTCCCGCTTGCCCAACGTAAGCTTGAATGGATTGCACAGCTAATGCTTGGAATTATTTGCTCATATATATTTATTCAAACTTTTATTGCATATCAATGTGGCAGGCATAGATTCACTGTGCTGTGCACCATGACCTTGATGCCATCATCCTGTCTCCAGACTGAAGGGTTGTCTTGGTCAATTTAAATAGACAGAAATTTATATTACAGACATATCTCATCTTGCAAAAAGGATGTCTGATACTAAAAAAGGAGTATGAAAGTGCCCTTAAATTTGTAATTCTAGACACATCTTAAATCAGAAACACAGCTTCATACTTAAAATTATCCTGGAAACGTTAACCCAACCATCCCACTCATACATGGAAACATGGGATTAAATAAACATTTAAGTTGTACAGATGTGTAGCTACTGAAAAAAAAAAACTGGAAGAAAAAAAAACCTGTTGTCTTTTTCCATTCTTGTTTAAGCTGTTTCTATAGATCCTTTATTTTATTTAACACTGTTCTATTATATGAAAGCCTGAGTTTGCTATTATTTAAGAATGTGAGTATGATTGCAGGTTTTTATAGATTGTGCTTCGGGAAATGGGCTCATCTCTTCCAGAATAGCCCCTTCATGAAACAGTCCAGATTTCACCTGTTACCACTAAGGCACTTCCCTTGATTGCTTTGTTCTGAGCACATTTGAGTGTGTTTTTCATCAGCACAGAAAACTAATAGGAAACCATAATTTATTGAATGAAAACAGTTCATTTATTTGAGTACGGTTAACTACCTCTTGTAGGTATTCTATTCTTCCCAATTAATTTATCTCAATTACTTGCTTCTATTTGAGATAACTTGTTGATATATTTTTGACCTAGAGAGAATGCTTATTAAAATGGGATTACTATATTAGCATTATACTTCTTATCAAATATTTCCCAGATACTTCACTCACAAATATCAGCAAGAAATAGGAGAAACCAGAAATTTCTTGGGTTTCTACCAAGGATCTCTAATATAGTTGTTAAGGTACAACAAGTCTCAGCATTGTAAAATTGCTTCTGATATCCTTACATCTTCAGGCATGAGAACACAAAGGCTTGTTTTGACTAAGTTGTCCACTGTGGAATTAAGAACGCTTGAGGACTGGATATATATACTCTATTGTGCTAAGCCTGGTCTCTTTGCAAATCATAGATATGGACACAATAGACCACCTCTAGGGCTGAACTTTCCAGAAGAATTAATTAACATATCTCAAAGGACTGCTTGCAAGCTCGGGAGAAGCACGTTTCAGCCATGAACTCAATATTTGAGATCAGCACAGTAGGTTTCCTTAAAGTCCAATTTCTTTGTTTATGCCCGAGAGCCAGGTCATTCAGGAGAGATACCAGATCGATATCTGGCGATATAAATTTCCTCTATGGTTATATAGGATAAAATATGGCTTACATTTTATTTTCCATACATAGCAACTCATAATGACTCATCTGTTGCTAGCTAGTGAAGTGCTTGGCAGGTCTGGGGAGCGCATAGAGCAGGGCTGAGGAACTAGAGCTATGAACTGGTTAAGGATGAGAGTAGTGAGCCTAGAACCAGCTTCTGATTCCAGCTCTGGTTTCGGGTAGTCCATTCGTATATCTGGGACCAATCCTTCCATCTGTAAAATGGAGCAAGGAATACAAATGAATATTTCAGAGAAGCAGTGAGGCAGAGCACGTTGCTGATTAACACAGAATATCTTGGATACAGAAAAGACAGTGAAAAATTTAAAACTACTTCAGCATGAAGATCATTTGCTGTAAATGTGATTGAAATCATTCTGTTTGGCAGTTCGGCATTGGCTCTTAGAGGTAGCTAGTCATCCCGAAATGGTTATGACAATAAAAATCCTGTGTAAATGTTGTAGAAAAATAATAGCAACACGTCAAAGAGGAAAGAATGAACATATACTCTCCACACACCCAAGCCCCATCGCCTGAGCATCATGGAGTCATCTCCTCATTCCTCTCTCATGTCTCATAGTCTCTGTGGCAATGCCTTCAGGACCTATGTCAAAGAAGTCACTCGGGTGAGAGTCACTAATCATGAGTGATGACATCATGAGGCACCCTGACAAAGGCCCTGTGACTTGACTTTATAGTTAGTGTCTACTGGCTTTGATGTACCTTGTGCCATCTGGACACTTTCCTAGCTACAGGCTGTTAGAAGGTTTCATATCTGCTTCCCAGTTTCCCTCACTCTTTGAATAGGCCACCTTTCGCATAGGCATGTGACTAGATAGATATAGAGTCATCTAAGCTTGACCTCACCCCAAACATCTGAATGCAGTTGCTCACACTTGGTGGAGCCTTGGGGTTGGGAGCCCAATTTGTTCTCATGGTGTTGTTATCCAAATACACACGAGGAACAAATAAGGCTTTCTGATAATATGTAGTTTGTAGAGTATTGCTATACTCTGGACTTGTTTTATAAAGAGAAGTCATACTTAGGAGGGAAATGAAAAAAAGTGAATGAAGGCTGTTTCCTTTGGTTGAGAAAAGCATTATATGGTATTTCACTACAACAGAGGTTGAGGGTGTAGAGCAGAACATATGGGGTCAGCAACTGAGTTTGTGACTACTTGGTCCCAGCTGAAAGTTTAGAATCTAAATTCCCATCCCAATGAATTCCCCAGGTAATGACTGCTCATTAAAGTGAGAATCATACCTCCTGGTTGTTACCCTTATAGCCTTTCTGTTTCCTTCTTTCTTTATTTTCCCTGAGCTTTAGCTATAGAGGCATATTATAGATACCTGTCTTAGAGCTGGGTATCCTAGACATGATGAGGAAGTTGCACATGTGAAATTTCAACAATGTGGTTGCCTACACAGAAACTGTATTTTCACAATACCAGTTGATATGTCAATGTGAAGAGGGTAAATTAGAAAAAAGACACATTCCTAGATGAAGAACTTCATTCAAGAGAGAGGGAGAGAGAGAGAGAAAGAGAGAGAGAGAGAGAGAGAGAGAGAGAGAGAGAGAGAGAGAGATTGAGAATCAGTTTTCTCCAGGGACAATCACCTGATAAATTACCCAATTTCAGTCACAAGACACATGTCTATATGAGCAGCACCAAATGAACTCAGTAACTCTCACACACATATACACCACATATATACATCATATGTTGATAATATATATTATATTATCTTCAGTAAAGAAGAATATGGCATGAATTTTGGAATAGGACAGAGGAGAAGTAGGAGAGGAAAGAGAGAGAAGAAAAAATAATGTAAATATAGTATTCTCAAAAAATTAAAATATGAAAAAAAGAATAAGAAGCATGTTCCCATGATACGCACTTTAGAATGGGTAGAGAAAAAAGAAGATCTCCAAAATCTAGTACTGAAGGACTCAGAGATATCTTTGGCCTCCGTGTTATTGTTGGGACATATGCTCCTGTGAGAAATTGTTTATTCTCACAGTTCAAGCAACTTTGTGGTGACTGAGGTAAAGAAAGGGCAGAGACTAATTCTGCCTTCCAATTCGGTTGGCAGACTTCCTTTCCACACTGTCCGTTTCTGCTTCGGTTCTTGAAGTTCCATCCATCTCTAAACAATGTACTTCCCTATTTCCTAGGAAAACAAGAGGCTAGAGTCCTTCCCACGCCACAAATACACCTTTCTTCCCCACCTTCAGTTGCCTCCCATGCATCAAACTGACAACTCCCTGAGGAGTTCAGTCTAGTTTTCTCTATAAATAACCCTAAAGACCTAAGACGTGTCATAAGAAGAGGAAGAAAGAAGCAGTGTGACTTCCTAACTAGCTTACTTTGGCTCCGGGATGCCAAAGCAGATGTTACAAATGATGCAACATCTCTGCTTAGGGCCTCGGTGTCGAAATCACTCAGCAGAGCAGACACAGGCCTTTCCATTTTACTGCCTGTTCGAGCCTCTGAATAGTACAGCATACCAGTCTGAGGATCGGATGTCTCCCTCCCTCCACACACTCCCCAGGACTGGAGTGGAATAAGGACAACCTCCGTGATAGAGCTGGAGGTATAGGACTGCTTTCTCTCTTCTCTTTTGTTGTGTTTCTCTTGAGTAAGACAAGCCTTTAAGGTAGGCCTTTTATGTTTGACCAACTCACCTGAGCCATCAGGAGCCCCACATTTCCAATGTAACTCCCGTATCTCCATCTTGATTGAGGCTTGAAAGCACCCATGGGAGAGTCTCAGCTTTAGGGCACAGCTGTTGTGTTGTACAAGTCCCTGCTGCCTACCAGGAAGTGTTGATTCTTCTATTGTACTGCGGTTAACAGTCACCTTAATTTTTATTAGAGGTTTATCTTCAGTCCTTGCCTAAGTTTTCTGAAAAGCCCAAGGGAATCTGGTAGTTGATTCAGACTTGTTAGGACCTTGCAGAGCTTTCTTTTGTGGAGCTCATCCACCCCTAAGCCCATTCCTTTTTCTTTGGGAATGAAAGCAATCAAACAAGCGAGCAGGTATGGACTGATACTTATATTGTGAAGCTGTAAAAGATTCTTTTTCACTGGATCCTCATGGAAAACAGCCCCGACTTTCACTTTCTTTTGACCTACTGAGACACAGAGAAATAAAAGTGGCAAGTGGCTGTCTTTAGGTCCAGATATAAGAGAACAGTTGTTGTTTAGTAATGGAAATTTCACCCAGACTATGTGATTTGCACTGAGTTAATTATTAAATGCTAACTGCTTTCTTTATAGTACTAGACATCTATGAAATTTCATACATATGCAGACCATGGATGTGTTATGCTCAGATTCATGTTATAAAACCAGACCCTGTACCTGAGTTGTTTACACAGAAAAAGACTCACTTTAAGCTGGAGAAGAAAACTGCTTTCATCTTGCATTGTTAATTGTAATCAATTGGTAGTAGCTGTTTGGAGCCCTGTGCTAAGGATAATATTGAAGCTACCTCAGGGCTCAACAGAAGAGAAATCCATGTTAAACCACACAAAAGGGAATGGCAGGATTTGTCTGCAATATTCTCTGTACAATTTATAAAGACTATTACTGTAATTCCTTACTATTTGGAAAGTCTGAAATCACCAATATTCTGAGAAAATTACCTCTGATTCACTCAAGGTGCTTTCTGATTTATAAGTATGTGGGTTATTGGATACGACAAGGCATCTTGCTACATGACAGTGTATATTGCCATTCATAAAGATTAGCATACATGTGGAATGTCATGTGCTTGCCGTTTGGTCATTGTTTCCTCTGTTCTCTCATTTTACTGCACGTGGTGTTAGAGGACTTAGATCAAAACACTAGCTAAAATGCAACTTCAGATCAGAATGACCTTGAGCCAGTACCTCAGCCCCTCTGAACTTCACTGCTTTCTTTGAAATCAGATAAAAGAAATATATCAAACAAGATATACTGCTATACTTGCAGAAGAAATTGTAAGACTTGGGGGTGGGGAAAGGCTTGAAGAAGATGAAATTTAACAGAAACATGATATAGATATTAAATAAACATCAATTTTATCTGAATTCTAATAGTTTCTTTCTGAACCTGAAATTCTCAACACCAAAATATATGGAAAAGGATACAGTTTTAGCTACATAATGATGTTCCATACTTGAGGATATGAGCATTTGTAAGGGGCCAGTCCTGTTTGATGATGGTTACTGTCATTACTGACCTCCTGGAGTCACACAGAGCTTATGATTAGGATGTGGTTCTTTCCAGTGGTGGATAACATCTTTGCTCTGAGTATGTTAAGCACACACATGCAGATATGTTTCTCACAGCTGAATGAATTGGAGTAACTGTGCTCACTGCAGGATATCATCCACAAAGCAAGCAACGAGGGCTAAAGCAATAGCCATATGCATTTTACTGTACTAAATTAGGTAAAACAAAAATTAAGAAATTACAGAAATGGATACATAAAAGACAAAAGATATATTAGGATAATTAAAACCTCAAGACTGTTGCGACAGGATGGTAGTACTACTTCAGGCAAATATAAGCTTGATAACTTTTCATATACTCTATTCTTGATATAGTCACCTCTGATATCTTGGCTTAATCCCAAAGCATGTGTGTCTTTATTTAGGAAAAAGTCTGAAGACTAGTATGTGCTCTTCCCTCACTGATTTTGTGACAATGGTAAAGCACTTTAATCTGTATTTATATTACACCTATCCCTCATTTGTGAAATTAAGATAATACTTAAATTAAGATAGAATAAAATTTGTTGATGTCTGGTTAGGAATCAATTACACACACACACACACACACAACTTGAAAAATACTTGTGTGCCATGATATATTACTGTCTCAGTCATTGACCTCTGCACTGAATTCTGCATTACTTCCATGGATAAACACAAAACTTCTGGGGGATGTTAGAGATTTCCAAGTTGCAGTCTGCAGATCCTTGATGTAAGGCTCTTTTCAGTTCTGAATGTGAACACTATTTCCCCAGTAATCGCTGAATGCCATTGCCTTTCCTCCACTGGTCTTGAAGCTGATGAAAAAAAGGAGTGGGAGAATTTGTGATCGCAATGGCGCATCTACACAGATGCCAAAAGATACGAGTACGCTAGCAGTTGGATTCTTCACCATCAGGTGCACACAGTTTATAAATCAGTGGAGTATAACTTTAAATGAATTAGAGGGAAATAGTTTGTATGCATTGTATAAAGGAAAAAGGAGGAAGGACTCAGAAGTCTGGGAAACCATTTTTCATATTTTTTATTTGTTTCTATTTTTCAAAGAAAACTCTTTAAATAAAATATAGTTACATGTGACGGTGAGAGGAACTAGGAGGAATAAAGGGAGGGGAAATCGTAGTCAGGATTCATTGTATGAGAAAACAATCTATTTCAAAAAAAAAAAGGTAAAACAGCAACAGAAAAAAAGAGACAATTACATCATTTCCTACCTCTAGTCTCTTTCATTCCTTTCTCACGTTTACCTTGTCTCACACACAAGTGTGTGTACAACCAGTTGAGTCCATATGGTGTTGCTCTATGCATATTTAGGGGGAATGACCATTTTTAGAATTAGAAAAACATTTCAGGTGCCCATCTCAAAGGAAAACTAATTCTCTCTCAGCCATTTTCAGTTTTAGCTCTTAATCTGGGCGGGGGGGGGGTGGGGAGGGGAGGGATGTGATTTTTTTTTTTTTCATTCATGCAGACACATCAATTGGAGCCTCAATCTTGAAGCAGACTACCTGGTTCTCTGACTCCTCCAATCTTTTCCCTCAACTTTATTGATGCTCCTTTAGCCTTTGTTTCAAGGATTGTGTTGTAGTACTATCAGCTGAGGCTGAACAATGCCACAGTCAGCTGTTCTTGACATTTTGACTAGTTGGGCTTTCTGGAATGGTATTGTTGATTACATGAGAATGGCCCCATAAGCTTAGGTATTTGAATCGTTAGTAGAAATGTTGTAATTGGTAGAGAAGAATTAGGCTATGTGGCCTTATTGGAGAAGGTGTGTAAAGTAACTAAGGTCTCTGAGATTCGTAGCATTCAATCTTTCTCACTGCCTCCAAATTGCAGACAAAGGTGTGAGCTCTGAGCTGTTCCAGCTGCCAGAACTTTGCTCTGTCATCACGGACTTGAACCCTCTGAAATTGTAAACCTAAGTTAAACACTTTGTTTTATACTTGGCTTTGGTCACAGTGTTTTATCACATCAACAGAAAAGTAACACAAACAATAGGACCATTGGATATTTTCTTCCCTTGGCAGCTTACATAGAACCTCACAGTGTTATAACAGCTACACCCAGTAGAAAACATTGTGGAATAAAATCGAGCTTAATTCCTTTGAGTCCTGTGTCTGAAGTCAGTGGTGTATTCATTAAGAGAAACTTACATTCATCTTTTGGATTGTGTTAGCAATAGCTTATGCTGTTTAGGAAGTCTTTTGGACTCTCCTAATGAATAACTCAAAAGGAGGTTTCTCATGCCTGGTGTGGTTTTTGTAAGATGATCTATGACTCTTGGTGAGAATATTATCACATCAAGTGGCATAATTTCACTAAAAATGTGTATGCATACATACGGAGATACATGTTCACATATACATAAACACATACACACATACACTCGTATGTAAATATAGGTAAATATAAAACAATATGACTCTTTCTGGCTTATTAAATCATCCTTAATGCTATCCATCTTCCTTTCCTCTCCTTCTGTATTGACTTCTCTCTGGCCTCCTATAAGAAATTCCTCCATTTAAAAAGAATTATGAATATGGCTATTTTGCCTGCCTGCATGTCTATATGCACATGTATGAATTACCTGTAGGGGCAGAAGAGGACATGTAATTATGGAACTAGAGTGACACATATTTGTTAGCCACCAAGTCAGTGCTTGAACTTGACCGGGAGTCCTCTGGAAGAGCAGTCATCTCTTCAGCCCGGGAATACTGCGGTGGTTTGAATTAAAATCCCCCCCCCCCCCCCCCCCCCCCCCCCCCCCCCCCCCCCCCCCCCCCCCCCCCCCCCCGCCAACGATCCACAAGGAGCCACACTATTAGCAGATATGGTCTTGTTGGCGTAGCTTTGTGACTTTGTTGGAGGAAGTGTGTCACTAGAAGGAGACTTTGATTTCTCAGATGCTCAAGCCAGACTCAATGACCCACTCTTTTCCTGCTGCCTGCCAGTCTGGATGTAGAACTCTCAGCTACCTCTCCAGTGCCATGACTAGACCTCTGAACTGTATCCAGAGTTATTAAATATTTCATTAGAAAAGTCGCCTTGGTCATGGTGTCTCTTAGCAATAGAAACCCTAACTAAAATAGATACTAATCTTGATGAACATAATTTTGTACTCTGGAGATGCTATCCAAAGCATTGACACTGTGCTGGAGTGCAAATCTAATAGCTCTTAGAATTTTGCTCTGTTTTCTGGAATAAACTTCTGTATTTTGTTTTTCTTCCCACTATACTCTATCTCAAGAAGTACAGATTATTTTTAAGATAAAATAGAAGTGAGTGTTTTAGATTGTCTGACCAAGTAAATGAGTACCTTTGTTACTTTCAGTCTTATAATTACAGTTTGTGAATGGTGCCCAAGGCTCTTTTATCAAATGCAATACATGGCATATTCTTATTGATGTTATTGTTATAAAAATCTATAAAAATAACAATCACAACTATCCAAGCTGTTCTTTCACAACTATTTCTAATTTTTTTCTAACCTAAGGTTAGGCATTTATATTTCTAAAATTTAATTCTGGTGTTTTAGCTATTGTCTCAAGACACTATATAATTATCTTTTTTAAAAACTGTGATTCTACCACACAGTAAATAACCTACTCCTTAGGGCAAGTCTACTTAATATTATTATTCAAGTAACTGAGAACATCTAAAGGGAGGATAGAAATGTACTGACACTTCCCAGAAACTTCTATGAGATTTCCAGGGTGCACCGAATGTACATAGGGAAAATTCAATGAGCTAGACTCCACTTCTGCCATGTGGCGATGTACAGATTAATAAAAATGGGTTAAATCAAAATGTGAGAGTTAGCCAATAAGAGGCTAGAGCAAATGGTCCAAGCACTGTTTTAATTAATACAATTTCTGTGCGATTATTTCAGGGCTAAGCTAGCCGGGCGACCGGGACAAACAAGCAGCCCCTCCTTGCAACATACTTCATATGTGTAAACTATCCCAGTAGATTAAGTGTCATCATGAGCTCCTTTATAGGTTTCTCTGGGTTCATTTACTCCTAGAAAGTTAAAGGAAGACTAAAGTTTATCATTTATCAAGAAAGGTAAATGTTTGTGAGGTAAGGTCAATTTAGTCCTTTGACTTCAACAGGAAAAAGGGGTCTCTATTTCTTCAATTATTAGACATTACAAAATGATTGGCTTTTGGATGGCCCTAATTCTTCTGTGACTACTCAAATTGACTGGGTAAATGACTACACAGGACAAGGAAAACTAAGTTAATGCATTTGATATTTTCTTTCTTTTTTTCTTTCATTCTTTCTTTCTTTTTTTAATATCAAGGACATTTCTTTTGCGAATGAAAGGAAAGAAGGAAGGAAGGAAGGAAGGAAGGAAAGAAGGAAAGAAGGAAGGAAAAGGGAGAGAGAAGATGGTCAATAGGGCACAGCACCAGGTTTTCATTGTTTACTAATTTGTCTTTCTCTCATCATTCCATTCACAGGTCAATGACAGCTCACGTGTGCTCATGAAGAAGAGAAGCACAAACACTTTGGGATGAAAGCCTGATTTTCAGACGCAAAAGTACATCATGTAAAGACTAGGAAAGCAGGCCTTATAAGCAGACAGCCCAAAGACCCTTTAACTACTGAACTCTTCTCTAGATTTGAAGGTTGAAGTTCTGATATATTTTTCCTTGTCCACTTAGCTGTATCATCTAAACTTGATGAAAATGACCTTAGAATGGCCATCATTTTCTTGAAAATATTAGGAAGTGTCAGAAAGCTACAGAGAATAGAAGGGAGACAAGCACTTAGTAGGATGGACTTCATCGCGACACTGGGTTGGGAGTGTGGGATGAGAGTTGCTGGGCAGAGTCCAAGGCAATTACAAACAATCTCTCTTCTTCCAGGTTCAGAAGCCTAAAAACCCCTTCACACCAGACTAAGGATGCCAGGAAAAATCAATAAGCTATTGAATCGAGTTCTCTGGGGGAGAACACAGTGTATTTTGTAATTTCAAAATAGCTCTTTTATTAGAGAGCTGAAGAGAGGATAGCAGACATTACATTTCTATGAAATATAAGTCAGGCAACATTCAGATCTCTTTTAAAATTAATAGAGTTTCAATCTTTTTTTATTTGGGCAATAGATTGAGTTGTGTTGCCTGCTAACTCTGTTTTCATTTTGATTTAATAAGTGCTTATTAAGAACATTTTTTTTCCTAACTGTGTCACTGAAACCTCTCTCTCTCCTCTGGACACTGCATTAAGTATAAAATGGATTGCAACAAAGCAACATAAATAGATACTTACTTTTCCTAAGTGAATCACATGTGTATAAAAAATAAACGTAGTGTCAGGCATGATGTGTAGAGGAAGGGTTGTTCCTGCTCAGGTTTAGTTGTCAAAATCCACAGTATATAGGCTGACAGCTTTTGAAATACATAAACTGTTTCTCTCTCTCTCCGGTTTCCATAGTAACAGAGTGCACAAAGCCTTAGTTTTTTCACATAGAGAGAAAAATATGGGACTGGAGTTCGGAATTGTCTGGAACAAAGGAAAAATAAAGACAACAGAAAATTAAGCATGTGTAGTTTTCAGGAGACTCATTCATGGCTCCTTGAGGTTTTTATTCCAAGTGTGTGTTTAAGGGCAGCTTGGGTTGCTTACAAGTCTTTGCTCAGGGCCTGAATAGTTAGCACATTGCTAACAAACAGCTCCTGGTCACCACCTTGGTTTTGAGAAGTTTCATTTATATGGGCTCTGTAAGGTATTCCTGCTGTCTGCTTCTTGATCAGCTATTCCCTCTTTAGCCCACCAGGTTGACTGTTAAG